AGCAATTTGGATTTACGAGAGGACGGTCTACCACTGATGCAAGCATTAACTTAGTACAAAGTATTTTTGGTGCCTGGGAAGATTCACAGGATGCCATTGGTGTCTTCTGTGATCTCTCAAAAGCGTTTGATTGCGTCGACCATAGGACTTTATTGATTAAACTAGAACATTACGGAATTAGAGAAAAGTCCTTAGAACTCATTGGATCATATCTGTGCGATAGAATTCAAGTAGTAGACATTAAAGGAAGCAAATCTAAGGGGTCATATATAAAAATGGGTGTACCCCAGGGTTCTGTCCTCGGCCCATTTCTTTTTCTTGTTTACATAAACGACTTACCATACCAGTTTCAAAATATACTCGTCCCGTTTGACATTGTATTGTTTGCTGATGACACATCACTTATTTTCAAAGTGAAAAGAAATAATAAGGATTTTAGTAATATAAATAATACTCTTGAAGATATTCTTAACTGGTTTACATCAAATAATCTAGCGCTTAATTCAATGAAAACAAAATGTGTTAAATTCTCTTTACCAATTGTAAAACAAGTAATGACAAATGTTAGTCTGAATGATCATGTTTTGGACTTTCTTGATGAGACTTCTTTTCTTGGTATTGTAATAGATAATAAATTGCAGTGGGGACCACATATATTCACACTGGCCAAAAGACTTAGCTCGGCTGCTTTTGCTATCAGAAAAATTAGACAGTTAACTGATACTGCAACAGCGAAGCTAGTGTATTTTAGTTACTTCCATAGTATAATGTCGTATGGTATTATATTGTGGGGCAGGGCGGCTGATGTAGAATCAATTTTTATATTACAAAAAAGAGCAGTTCGTTCAATATATAATTTACCGTGTCGCGTCTTTACTCCGCGGCGCTTGCGCAATCCCTTCCTCTTGCGCACGGCGGTCCGTGTACGCTCGGCTCGAGACGATAGAACACTACAAAAATAATCAGTATTTTCTTTTTATACATTTATTGAAGGCGACTAATGGCCCATATTATAATACCTTATATACTAATATACATACGAAATAATAATAAAATATAAATATAAATTGTCTCTTAGAGAACGCTTTAAAGAAACAGGTATCCTTACTGTTCCCTCTCAATATATATATGAAAATATAATGTACGTTCGTAAAAACTTAAATTTATTTACAAAGAATAGTCACTTACACGGTTTTAATACAAGGAATAAAAATAAATTAAATATGCCTAGTTTTCGTCTCAAAAAAGTAAGTACATCTTTCATGGGACATTGTATACGTTTTTATAATAAATTGCCCGATAATGTTTTGAATTTAAATGAAGGGAAATTTAAGATACATGTAAAAAATACACTTTGCGCTAAAGCTTATTACAAAATAAACGACTACTTGAATGACTACAATGCGTGGACTTAATTACAATTTTAACTTTTGTTATGAGATACCTCATAACAAAAGTTAAAATTGTAATTAAGCTATTATTATAACTTTCTCATTGACATAGATAATATAATAAACACTAAAGAAACTTATCCTAAATTTAGTAATGACATATTGTAATTTAAATAATGTAAATTAAATATTGTAATGGGTGAAAACTGTGATTGGTACAGTTTATGCTGTAAATAATATAAATGACGTAGTGGAGTAACTTGAAACAGTCATGCTCGCTATAAAGTTCAAACTTGTGGCGGCGTGGTGGGCCGGGTCGATGTGCTCCCTCTAATATGGTTGAGTGCAATGATGGCTGGCTCATCCGTCATACTCGTGTACGGGTGCTGCTTGTGGGGACTGGTCTGTTCAGGTTGCGAACACTGATTAGATTTATTGATTTTTTTTTTATTTTTTTATATAGCATATGCTGGTGGTCACTCTATTCTCCCAAATTTGAATTTAAATGAGTATTAATGTAAATATGTACAACATTAAAAAAAAAATACGAGCTGAGTTTCTTGTCAGTTCTTCTCATCTCGAAATCATTCCGAACTGACGGTAGATTTGACATATCATAAGAGTCTGTAATAGACCTACATGAATAAAGATATTTTGAATTTGAATTTGAATTTGAATTTGAATTATATTACATTATTATATTTAAAATTATTATTACAATCCATTATTATCATTTAAATAATCATTTGTGTAATAATTTATTTAATAATTCTTTAAATAATTTACTTTTAAATTGTTTATTGTTCAAATTTCTATAATTGTCTGAAATATGATTGAAAATTTTTATGGCCATACAGTATACATTATTTGAAAAAAGTGCCAATCTTTGTTTAGGAATAATATAATAATACTAGCTTTTGCCCGCGGCTTATACGTAATAAACATAAATATATGTATATGTATATATTTATGTTCATTACGTTCACCACCTACCCTTTCTTATCATAATGTTACTTTCTCTACTGGTAGTCTGGAAAAGATTGCTTAGCGATAAGCCCGCCTTTTGTATCAGTTTATGTAATACTAGCTTTTTCCCGCGGCTTCGCTCGCGTTAATTTATCCCCTTAGGGGTGGAATTTATCAAAATTCTATCTAAGAGGATGCCTACGTCACAGTAGCTTTATGCATGCAAAGTCTCAGTCCGATCGGTTTAAAATTGACAAAGTTTCATACAAACTTTCATCCCCTATTTTGTCCCCTTGGGGATAGAATTAATCAAAATCCTTTCTTAGCGGATGCCTACGTCATAACATCTACCTGCATGCCAAATTTCAGTCGGATCCGTCCAGTGATTTGGGCTGTGCGTTGATAGATCACTACGTCAGTCACCTTTGAGTTATATATATTTTGATAACAATTGACACATGTTAACTTAATAGTACGTCAGTCAAACATATGTAATTGTGATATATTCTTTTTTGGTAACAATACAATTCGACTTCACGACCTTTGGTAACATATAACAAATCAAATCAAATCAAATCAACAGATTTGATTTATTATTTATGTAGGCCTATTTCAGACTTCTGATAATTGAAATCTACCGTACACTACTACTACACTTCGGAGTGTATTCGAGCTCAGAAAATCTGACAGAAATATCAGCTCTTTTCTTTTTCTTTTTAAATGAGCTTGTACATGTTTATAATAATACAGATTCATTTTAAAATTCATGTTTGGGAGAATAGTGTGACCACCAGCGTAGCATAACGTATAAAAGTGGCACCGATGTCGGAGAGGTTAAAGAGTAATCGTCTATCGTGGTATGGGCACGTAATGCGTAGGAATGAAGATCATATCCTAAGGACGGTGTTACATATGAATGTGGATAGTTATAAGGGTAGAGGAAGACAGAAAAAGAGATGGATGAACTGTGTGAAGATGATATGGTAAGAAAGGAAGTAAATAAAGAGATGACTGCGAACAGGGATGAATGGAAGAGAAAACATATTACGCCGACCACAAATAAATGGGATAAGGAAGAAGCAGATGATGACCAGCGTAGCATAATATGAACAAGTAATAAGGGGAAAGGGCATTGTTAGTAATGTGGACAAGTCATGTTGACCTCCACGCGGCTCCCCCTGGAAAACATCGTGATAAATTCCTGGTTAATATATCACGAAGGCTAAGTAACTTAATCTCATGATCATCTTATCGTTCTCCATTGGTGCCCCGCCAGCGTAAACCGTCAGCGTAGGTGGGTGCAAAATTTCATCATAATGAATTATTAAAAAAACAACAAGTAATAAACCACATCCCGTCGCTATATAATGTATATATCCACTTATGCATTATATTAATAACTAGCTGTACCTGCGACTTCGTTAACTTTATATTTCTAAAATAAAAGTAGCCAAGTTACTCCTTTTTATATCCACTACCTTCCAAAAAAAGTTACGTCAAAATCAGTCCAGCCATTTTAGAGATTAGCCAGAACTAACAAACAGGCACTCCAATTTTATTTATATGTATAGATATACCAATATTCGATATCTAAAATTAAATAAATAATAAACTTAGATAAATATTCCGCGCTTACACCTGCTTTTAACGAGTTCAAATTACATTGCCATTAATAAAAATATTCCTTATTTCGTGGGTATAATATTCAAAGTTCGGCAATAAAAACGGATTATAGGCCCGTTTAGAAACCAGTCGAAAGCCGGTTAGGGTGCAGTCGAACGATCCATGACAGGTCATCAATTTTATTGGTCTGAGTCACTAAATAAATAGATTAATCGTTGATTAACAAACATTGCAATGCAATGGTAGTACACATACACACAATTGCCCAACTGTTGAATAAATTATTTTGAGTAGTTTACAATATATACAGATTAATCGTAAATATATACTTTCGATTTTTTTAGGTATAGCCATCTCTTATCTATGTAGGTACATACTATTTATTTATTCGGGCAGTATTATTATAAATAGGTACCTACATTAATTGTCATATCTGAATAATATTAAAAACGCGAAAGTTTGTGATTATGGATGGACGTTTGTTACTCTTTCACACAAAAACTACTGAACTAATTTTGATGAAATTTTACAGTAATATAGCTTACACATCACAATAGCTTAAAGGCTATAATTTAAAAAGGTATTATGTAAATTGGGCGAAATATAATGATAAATGTCAAGTAAGTGTGATGCAGACGAAGTGGTCAGATAGTCTATTTATAAAATGGTCTTAAACATAGCATAGCGTTTTAGTTTTAGTTGTTATCAGTTCGTTACATGACTCGTATCTGGTAGTCCCACTGAAAACCAGCGCTATGGTATAATTGAGTTATACCATAGTATAAATGCTGAGTGGGAGTCATATTCAGCGTTACCATGTATGTTTTAGCTTTTAAGTTACTGTCAATACGAATATTAATGTAATGCTGAATAAATGTCTATTATTATTAACAATTAAATATAGTTATTTATTAATATTTAGAGTAATGAGGAACGATCTTGGAGCAAACCGTAATGACGATCTGGCAACACTGGAAGGCACGGCGCCACTCGCCGCTAGCGCCGCTGGCTAGTATCATTTCACGCGCCACTCTTAGTGGTTTTATGTTCTATAATATTATACATTGTACACACAGTTTACCAGAACATTTCGAAATCTTACTATTGTTTTTTAACTAAAATAATAACTATTTCTTCGCTTGTGATTGTGGAAAATCTGTGATCAGTGCAACTTGATAGTGTAAATATTGTATACGTGTGTTTGTTTCAAGTTTATCGCGGTTTTGTGCCTCAAAATCGGGAATAAAACAAGTATTAACGGAACTTTGTTTCGGATTTTCCATTGGATTTTACGGTGAGTAGTATTTTGTTATGGTGTTATAATTAGTCAATTTTAACGGTAATGCTAGTTAGAAGGTGCTAGCATGAAAGTTTGTAGTGATACCTACTTTATTAGAGTCTAATATTTACTTGTTATACCCGTTGAACTGGTTCAAATTGATTCAAATGCGTACGCGTCAGAAATCCGGGATCTTAAGCAGAAGTGTTATTATAAATTTGCAGAATTGTTGCAACTTACATTATTGTTTTTAAAACTATAAATAGATTATAAATACGTTGTTACGTACACACGTTAGCCGTTGATAATTACATATGTATCAGTTTATCTAATCGTAGGTAGGTATATGACATTGATTGCTATATTTCTAAAAGTATCAACGCTATAGTAAATAAGTATAATACCCTTCATATGAAACAGTGTTCAGGCAACAAATAAATCAACTTAAATTAGTTTTGAGTTTCAAACACAGCAGTTCAGTTTTTGATAAAATTTCGTCTGTGAATTAAACAATAGTTCGAAATGGTGACACTTAGAAAAAAGTTCATAGGCCAAAAAATACAGTTGATTTGATATCCACCCTTTTTTTAGTCTGTTAAAAATATCTACGCGGGAATTTACTTATAATCTATTAAAAATACCCTACCTACGCGGGAATTTACTTTTTTTTTGTGAATGATGAATGCTGATTTAAAGATGATGATGATGATGATGATGATGTTAGCAATGTACCATGTCAGGTTGACCTTCACGCGGTTCCCCCTGGAAACCATCGTGATAAATTCCTGATTAATCTGTCACAATGGGCTAACTAACCTGACGTCATGCTCATCATATCATCCTTCACTGGTGCCCCGCCAGCGTAAACGTTAGCGCAGGCTGGTGCACATTCCATTATCATGCCTAAAAAAAATGCTATGCTACTGGGAAGTGAGAAATACTATAAACTTCATCAAAATCCGTTCAATAGTTTTTGCATGAAAGGGTAACAAACATCCATCAAACTCACTCACAAACTTCAATATTACTCGTAGTAAAATTTAAAAAGAAGAAAAATCTAAGTATCTCAGATGTTGCGTTTACAATTACTCTGACTGGGGTAGTCAGAAGAATTGTATCAATAGCTATGAAGGTATATTACCTAATACAGTTGTAATACAATTGACAATATTTCTGCTACTGTATATATATATACATATTTATGTGTGTATGTATATGATTTTCCCAAGCTAAAGCGGAAACGTCACTAGTCACTACACAGCCTGTATGGTTGTATCCCTCTCATGCAGAAACGAAATATCTTCTTTAGAAAGTAAACACTCTATCCGAGGAGGAACTCTATGAGGAGATGAGGACATAAAAACCATAGCTCCTAAGAATATCTTCAATTCTTCCCTGACGAATCTAAGTAGGGAACTTTCATAAAGGGCGAGCACAATAGATCTATATGCGATGCAGTGCTACAGGTCTAAAGCCAGATAATAGCCCAAAACTCAATAAAAAAATACATAGGTACATATTTACCTGCATTGACCATCATTACCATCTTACTGTCATCGGTACCTAGCCTCGAATGTCTATATACGTGCCTAGGTAGGTTGGCATCTCGCGACAGACCTGTTTGCAAAGGTCAGCGGCCGCCACGCAGCGTGCAATGTGCACCATGGTGCACCATAAAACCTGCCATAGGATCTGTATACAAACGGACGGTCACTCCTAATGATTATATTAATTTTTAGATAGTAGACTGGTACTTATTACGTGCTTGAATAGTGGTCCCGTTTGCAATACATGTTAAAAAATAAAATACGACGAGTTAGTAAAATTGGATTTTTTTTTAGCAGGAACTATAGTTGTTGGTTTAGATGGGAAGGTAGATTTGGACATTAGGGTATTCAAGTCGCTCTCAGTTTTTTTTAATAGATGATAAATAATTAGTTCTTGTCTGCGCTAATGGTTTACGGCTGGGAGGGCACGAGTGGAGGATGATAAGATGATCACAAGGTTAACTCAGTTAGCTCATCGTAAAAAAATCGCCAGGAATTTATAGTGATGGTTTCCAGGGGAACCCACGAGTAAATTAACCTGATATGATACATATGACTCATATTGGCGGACGAAATCCAGATGGAAATCGTCATTATACCTACATCCAAAGTGGATTGTAATGATTCTCTTTATTGAATAATGTCTAAAACCTCTAATGTCAATTTTGTGTTTTTGGAAATAAGTTACTTCTTAATATGTACTTGCATGTGTTAATGAGTTTAATTGAATTTACGCCTACAAACCAATTTGGTTGAATGTTTCTTTTTTTAGAAAGCGTCGTGGGCATATAGTTTACTGCCATGACTTAGAACGTATGTTCAAATTTTGCCTCCACCAAAATCTTTTATATGTCCATATTTTTGCCTGACTGATTTAGGCATACCCTTGGTCAGATCACGAAATCTGGGCATGTCAAATGTTGCATTTACTGGACACGATTCTACAGGACTGACTCTGAATCTAACTATCCCGACTCTGGACAGTACATTATTTTTATTTTTTGCTTGTTCATGTTTGAAATGTAATTATTTAAAAATTCAACTACGAGCAACTGGCGGGAAAAGGACTGATGACCCCATTGGTAACAATATACCATGTCAGGTTGACTCCGCGCAGTTACTCCTGGAAACCATCATAATTCCTGGTGATTTTGTCACGATGGGCTAACTGACCTGCCCTCATGCTCATCTTATCATCCTCCACTGGTGCCCCGCTAGCGTAGACGGGTGCATAATTCCATTATCATACATAAAACAAAATCCTGGTGCATTCCTTCTCATCCTCCACTGGTGCCCCGCCAGTGTAAATCGTTAAGGCAGGCGGGTGCTTTACATTATCATCATTTAAAAACATTCTTATGGGAACTGTACGGGGACCATAAGCGTAACGTACTCTCCCACGGTTGCCAGTTCGCCTGAATGGGAGACGTGTGAATGGAGCGGGGTGGCTGACCGGTCAACTCTCTACTGATGTCGCGTTTGTGAATCGATCCACTGATAAAACGGTACAATTATGGCAGATAATAGATAACATTCTCTGTGGCCTTGCTTAAAAAAATATATATTTACTAGCGGATACTAGCGACTTCGTCCGCGCGGAATTTAACTTTTTTTTATTAAAAGAAATCGAATTTCTTATATTAAATTAGCACCAATAAAAAGGCCGTCTAAGTCGGTCCAGCTGTTTAAAAGATTAGCAAGAAAATTCAGATAGACAAAACTTTATTAATATTTTTTTATGTTTTTTTATACCACGTAGTGTATGTTAAAACAAATAGACATTTTAATTTAATTTATTTGTACCTATAGACAATTTTTTTCGTACATATATGTAACGCGTAGCCATAACTGAGTCTAAAAACTAGTTCTAGGTATTTGGAACATGTATTAATTACAAAAAATGTTTTAATTGTCATGGGAACAATGCTGTGCCCAAAACTCACCTGCGGTTCCGAATTCAGAACAATTCAGGTGTGCCAAATCGTTTAGGTATATCAGATTCCAGTACCTATAACACCAGCTCTGCTTACTTTGATACTAGATGCAGCTGTGTGAATTGTCCAGAGAGATTTATTTATTTTATTTCCACACTTACATCTATTTTACAGGTCTTAGCCTAATACAATTGTGCAGCAAACATTATTTTTTTTAATTAATTGTAGCTTATAATATATAAAGTGGTCTTCGTAAACTCATTCAGAGAACAAAAAAATAGATCTATTTGCCCCGCTGTATGGTTTAATGTACGCAGTGCTCTTGTAAAGTAAAATAAATATTAAAGTAAAAATATTATTAAAGTATAAATAAATATAAAAGTAAAAAAAAAAATTATTTAAAAGAGCAACACACAAAATTCAAATAAACTTACATTGAAGCAAGAAACTTTTCTTTCTCGTTCTTCTTGTGATGAGACAGCTTTTCGAATGAGCGGTAGATTAAAAAAAATGTAATGACTATTTAAAAGTGCTTCAATGTAAGTTTATTTGAATAAATGATTTTCTATTCTATTCTATTCTTGTGATCCGTGCTTTGCCTAGTAAGTGCGTGGCCCCGCGCGGCACAGCCAGCAGTTGCGGTCGATGACGATAGCATACACATTTGTCCGGAGCAACTCAACATTCACTTAGATTACATTCAGGACACAATCCTTCAAACAAATTTGGATTTCTGATGATAACAGTAGGCCAATTGTCAAACTTGTGGTGATATTGATGATGTTCAACATTTATTGATGGAATGCGTCAATAATAACACTGAAAGGCAAATCTTACTGAAAAAATATATATTTAAACATAATTACTTAATTTAGGAATCTTTCAGAGTATTTTATCAGAACCTGTATCAAAACAATCGATACTAATGTATAAATTTGTAGATAAAAGTAGATAAGATTTGTCTTTATAGTAATTTAAATATTAGATGTACTTAATGTAATTGATTAAGAGAATATATATATATTGCTATTATTCTCTATGTTCAGCATATCACGTAGTCCACGTGCTTGATGTAATAACAACCTTGATTCTGTACACGAGATTAGATTATTGTTTGCTATAAACTGACGTATATTCCCTTTTGATTAGATTGTCTTAACTATATAAAATTTGCTTACATCTACTCCCAAATGGTATATATCGCTATAAACATGAATTAGGTCGACTACAGACAAAATTTTTGAAGTTGTCTGTAAATCAAATCAAAAAACATTTGGTATAGGCCATATAAACATTTTAGCCGCTTATGACCGTCAAATTTTTTGGATTAATAATTTTTCCCTACAGTATGTCAGTAAAGAGATTCAATTGAGAAGAAATACTAAGAAACTCAACTGAATTTAGTCTGATTTTGGTATTTGTTGTCGGTCTATTCATTTAGAATTTTGTTTTTAAGGACAAATAATTGTAAAAATAAATGTGTTCATATTGGAAAAAAATATAAAATATTATAATAAGAAATATAAAGTAAAAA